TACTGCCTGATTCCATCCTTAGGAGGATGCTGTTCACTGCAATCCCTGAGGGTCCCCTAATTGAGGTTACACTACAGTAACTGTCCATTTTTGTCTCGCATCTACATACCAACTGACCTGTCCATGAACCAAACAGCCCTTTTCCTCCTGTCAGCTAGTTATAGGGGCCCTCCATGTCATCTGTGGAGGGCTGACTCCAGGATGGCCCCATGATCCCTACCTCCAGGTGTTCACTGTCTTGGGTAATCCCCTTCCCTTCAGTGTAGGCAAGTCCTTTGACTTGCTTCTATCAGTGGAGTATGGCAAAGATGATGGGGTGCAGATGAGTAGGTGTACTTGATACACTATATAAGATTGTAACACCCATCTTGCAAGGACACTCCCTGTGCCTGTTTGCTGTGAAGAAGCAAGGGGCCATGTTACAAGCTACCACGTGGAAAGGGACGTGTGACAAGGAGCTCAAGGGGGTCTCTGGCTAAGAGCCAACAAGAAGCTAAACCCCTCAGCGTGGCAGTCTGCAAGGAAGTGGCTTCTGATAATAACCACATGAGGCTGGAAGTGAATCTCTCCCCAGTTGATGCTCAGATAATATCACAGCCTTGATTACAATGCTCAGATAGTATCAATGCCTTGATTACAGCTTTGTGAAAACCCAAGGAAAAGGACCCATCTAAGTTATGCCCCAAGCGCTGACCCACAAAAACTGTGAAATAATAAGTATGTGTTGTTTTCAGCTGCTAAATTTGTAGTAATATTGTTATGCAGCAGTAGAAAACTAATACACAGCCAGAAATGTCAGCTGAGAGAGGAACTGGTACAGAATGGTAGGCGACATGGGAACCTGGGCCACTTGCTCGTGCAGGTCCCCGTGCATTGCTGTTCCCAGGGTTACCACTTCCATTTTGTGATGGAATGCTACTAGTTCCTCCCAACCTTGGTGAATTTGACAGAACCCAGCTCCTGGTGGGTAAATCTGGACATCTGGTCACTTAATGTCCCCTGGTTAGATGCTTAATCTATTCACCAGGGCTCAGTAGCACATGGGGATCTCTTCTCCAAATGATTCTCTGCTGCAGATGGCATAGATCTGCATCAAGACCCCAGGGCTTTATGTTGTGCTTTTACTCTTCTCCACATGACATCTTTTCTCATCACAGATAACTCTAATACCAGAGAGTCTACCTGGTTGTACAGCCCACTGACTGTACTGCCCAAGCAGCAGTGATGCTTGCACGTCAGCCTGGATCTGCTGGCAATTTTCCTTGTCACTAAGTGAGAGCAGTACTTCTAAATATGGAATATGCTGCCTCCAGAAACCAAAAGGACTGCAAGGCATTGTGCTTTCTTCGTAGTTGTGGGAGATAATAATTTGTCCTAATTTGGTGGGAATGGGAGAATATGTCCCAGCTTGCACCAAACCACTGGATCCCTAAGAACTTCCCTGGTGTGATGGTCCCCTGAATCATCATTTAGCCTCTTTTCTGTCCTCTGGCTTGCATGTCTTACCTGGTCCTCCAGTATATTTGCCACTTCTTGCTTACCTGATCATTAATATAATACATGAATGTGTTTTTTTGCAGAATGTCCAGATGGTCCAGATCCTTAAGACTATATTCTAGGAAAGGGCAGATTTAACATAGCTCAAAGGCAACATTGTGAATGTATACTTGTCCTGTCCCATGTGAATGTGAACAACGCTGATCATCCTTCCTAATGAGGATTGAAAAGAATACACTTATGAGATTGATGGCCACATACTCTGTGTCCAAAGCCATTTTAATGTGATCTAGCAAAGATACCATATCTGGCTCATAGCTGCAGTTGGGAGGCTACTACTTGGTTGAGTTTATGATAACCCACTGTTATCCTCCAGGATACACTTAGTGTTTGTAGGGGACATACTGTGTTAATGGAATGGGCCTATGATGAGGACCAGCATTCCTGCCTACTTCAGGTGTTTCAGGGTAGCACTAATATCTGCCATATCCCTTCATATGGTATTGTTTTTGATTTACTATCTTGGCTGGGAAGGGTAGAATGGTTTCAGGTGGATTCTACTTGGCATTCTCCACTATGATAGCCCTTATCCCACAGGCCAAGGAACCAATGTGGGTTCTACCAATACCTAAGGGTGCCCATTCCATTATTCCTTTGGGAGCTAGGGAAATTACCAGCAGATGAGCGTGTGGAGTAGGTGAACCTACCATGAGCCAGACCTGAGTCAGAACTCCATTTCTCCTATCCTTTATCCACCCCACTCCCAAGAGGGGAGTTATGAAGATGCTTTGGGCCCCTAGATATCTCAACTCAGACCATGTATCCAACAGTCCTTGAAAGGTTTTGTATTCCTCTTCCTTCAGTATATAGTTATATGACTAAAAGTCTTTGGAGAAGGACTAAGGAAAACATTACCTAATTTTTTTTTAATTTTTATTTATTTATTTTTTTTTGCTATGGTGTTTGGAGGGTTCTTTTTCATGAGCTTCTCTGTCACTCAATAGGATTTGGGTTGGAAAACCAATTCAGGTCTGGAAACTGAGAAAGTGATCAAGACTTTTTATTGTCGTGGCTGTGGTCAGCCTCCTGATCATCCATCTTGGATTTATTTTGGTTCTGTAGATTGAGCAATACTCTCATTTGCTGTTCATCTATCATGTCTCTCAGGATGCTATGCTGTATTAATCACCTCCCTAGCTCTCTGTCAGACCTCTCTGACTGCCTCTGACACTGCCACTCATAACAATTATACCTGGCTTACTTTTGAGAGTTAAGTATTGCCGTCTGGCTTCTGTTTTGGAATTCTATTGTCCCCATCAAAAAACCCTGCTCCATCCTAACATCTCCTACCAGTGGCCTTGGCCTATGGAGGACAGCCCTCCACTGCTTCTTAACAATACTGGAGGGCGCCTGGGTGGCTCAGTTGGTTAAGCGACTGCCTTCGGCTCAGGTCATGATCCTGGAGTCTCGGGATCGAGTCCCACATTGGGCTCCCTGCTCGGCGAGGAGTCTGCTTCTCCCTCTGACCCTCTTCCCTCTCGTGCTCTCTATCTCTCATTCTCTCTCTCTCAAATAAATAAATAAAATCCTTTAAAAAAAAAAAAACAATACTGGAGCCCCCATTAGCACATCCCTTGTCACTTTGGACAAGAACACTGTATCCTAAGAACAGAGGAGGCTAGTAGCTTTTTGGCCTTATGTAGTATATCCTAGTCAAGTGTCTGATTTCTTCCCCCAGTGCTTGCCACCGCAGGGCATTTCTACTTAGTGTGGGTCACTGCTTTCTCCAAGTTTCCAAGGGACAACCAAATACTATCATCTGAACTCTTAGCCAGGATATTATATCCCACATCACAGGTTTTTCTCCCTTTTCCATCCAGCAGAGTACCATATTTGTTCTCCTGCTTGTCAGTCAGTTTGTGTTCACCAGTCCTGCAGCTCCTTCAGCATGTAGTCCTTTTCTACCACTAGCCAGCCCAGCGTTTCTTCATCCTCACTATAGCTCTGGTGGTCGGGAGTGGAGAGTGCGGTACACCGTTGAGGAGTAAGGAGATACACGTATTGTGTTAGAAGGCAGAAACCTCTGCATCATCAAGCTTATACATATCTCCACAAGGGAAAAGCATCAGCCTTTAACAGGGAAGAATGGGCTACTTCTGTTATCAACAGCATTTAAAGAAGTATGGAAATTTAAGATTTTCAAATGCATCAACCCAAATGACCCTATTTCAAGTCCCAGCATCCCATTTTTTTTTCCAATGAGGACCTTGACCTTGGTGTCATAAGCTTTGTTAAAAGAAAAATGAATAAACATGTAAAATTAACAATATCATGTTGAGATTATACCAAATTTTATAGCCATTCATTTGGAGAAGACCCAGACCACCCTTATAGGCTAGGGGAAAGGCGTGCAGCAAAGGCAGCATTTATTGTTATTTTTTAAGATTTTATTTATTTATTTGACAGAGAGAGAGAGAGAGCACAAGCAGGGGAGGCAACAGGCAGAGGGAGAGGGAGAAGCAGGCCCCCCGCTGAGCAAGAAGCCCCATGCAGGGGGCTCCATCCCAGGACCCCGGGATCATGACCAGAGCGAAGGCAGACGCCCCAGCAAAGGTAGCATTTAAAAAGGGTCAGATTTCAGTTACATTTAAGAAAATTTCAGAACTAAAATAAGAAATGGGTAAAGATAAAAAGGGAGTCCTCAGACTTGCCTGGAGCCCACAGGGCATGTATCATGGTGGGGTTAAACATTATTATCAATCTTTTAATTTGTCTTGAGTGGTCTGCACCACCAGATTTCTGGGATTAGAAAATGACTATTATCCGCATGCCGAGATGCTCCCTCTCACCAATGACCAGTTAGTAGTAGAGGTATAAGCCATATGCGTTCAAAAGGGCAAAGACATCGTCTTCAGACGTCTCTAGCTTTAAAGCACAGTTTCCCAGGCGACGACGAAGCAGGAGGAAGTGGACAGGATAATCCGGGCGCCCTCTTCCGGCGAGGGGCCGACTCCACCCTCTCCATTCCGCACCTTTCTGTGGGGTGAAGCAGGTTTTTAGCCGAACTGTGTCGCGGCAGAAAAGTCTGTGAGACGCCCCAGGGCCACCAATGATGTCCACAGTACGGTACAGGGTCTGCACATTCGTGCCTAAAAAGAGAGCCGGCTTCCTGAAGCCCTCCGGGGACAGCGGGTACAGAAGGAGCGCACGCCGCCCTGCCCCCCACGTATGGGAGCAGCCGCAGACCCCTCCCCGCCCACGTTCGCTGAGCATGCCGGGTCCGCCGCCCCAGCCGCTCCTCCGCGTCTGTCGCGCTCAATCTCCCTTGTCCCGCGGCCTCCGGTCGGAGGAATGCACGACAACAGGTGGAACTCTATTTACACCTCCGTAGTCATTCTCGCTCCAGTCGAGGTGTCCCTAAAGCCCGTCTCACCTGTGCAAATAAAACGGCGTACGAGTTAGCGGCTCAGTAGACCAGGAGCGCGCGCGACGGGCCGGAAGTGACGCGCGTCGTGCCCGCGTATTCCCGCCCTGCCCTTCGCCCGCCGCTCGGTGGCGGGAACTGGGGCAACCGTGCCGACGGCGGCGAGTGTAAGTGTCACCGGGTGTGGCGGCTCGGGGCTTCCTAGGCCTGGTAGTCTCACACCTGGGAACGGAGCTAGGTCTTTGCGACCACCCCGCCCTTTCCCTATCCCGGAAGCCGCAGGGACGAGCCGGCGGCGTCCACCCTCCGGAGACGAGAGGGTGAAAGGCCCAGGCAGTGCCCGGGAGTACGGGGAGCTTGGGATAACAGGTGACCAGCCCGAGAAATTGTGAGGGTAGCCTTCGTTTTCCTCAGCTCCTGCGCCCTTAATGCCCCTGCTATGTCTTCCCCTTCCGTACTGGTTCGCGCAGTGGTAGCTCCGTACAGCATCTTTCAAAGCCCTGCTTTGGGCTGTAGTACTGTTTAGTAATTACTGCATCTGGCAGGGATGGAGTAATCCAGTAACGTTCAAAAGCTTGGCTGTTTACAGTTATTAGCCCTTCATTTACTGAGTATCCAAATGCCAAGCACAGAAGTACTTGTACACAGAAGTATGCTTTTTCTGTGTGTGTTTTTTTTATTAAAGTGAGGTCTAATTAACATACAGTATTAGTTTCAGGTGTACAACAGTGATTAGACGTTTGTGAAATTATTGAGTATATACCCTATGCTGTACATTACATTCCATGACTTATTTATTTTATAACTGGAAGTTTGTACTTCTTAACCCCTTTCCTCCTCTTTGCCCTCTCCCTTCTGACAAGCACTAGTCTGTTCTGTGTATCTACGAGTCTGGGTTTTTGTTTGCTTTGTTTTTTAGATTCCACATGTAAGTGAAATCATGCAGTGTTTGTCTTTCTGACTTCCTCTTTTAGTATAATACTTGCAGGGTCCATCCATTTTGCCACAAAGGCAAGATTTTATTCTTTTTTATGGCTGAGTATTACATGTGTGTATCACATCTTTATCCGTTCATCCATTGATGAACACTTAGATTGTTTCCATAATTTGGCTGTTGTAAATAGTGCTGCATTGAACATAGGGGTGCATATATCTTTTTGAATTAGTGATTTTAGGTTTGTTGTTTTTTTTTTTTTCTGGATAGATACCCAATACTGGAATTGCTGGATCATACAGTAGCTCCAATGTTAACATTTTGAGGAAACTCCATTTTGAGGAAACTGTTCATCATACTGTCTGCACCAGTTTACATTCCCACCAACAGAGCATGTGGGCTTTCACAATTCTTTTATTTAACTTTTATTTATTCTTTTATTAACTGCCTTACTGAATAGGCCTTAACTCCTTTTATAGCAGGGGAAGCTGAGTCTTATAAATGGTAATTCAGTCACCAAATATTATGGAGCATCTGTCGTGCACCAGTTACTGCTTTAGGCACTGGGGAAAAGCAGTGAAAAAAGTAGAATTGCCACTGATGCTGGGGATTTTCAGGCAAGCTAATGATGCTTTTCTGTCCTTAAAACAGCTTTCTGCTGCCTAGAAGAAAGTTTACCTGAATGTTAATAGTAGTTATCTTCTGGGTAAGATTTTGTATGACTTTTTAAAACAACTCATACTTTTCTGCTTCGTTTTGATTTCTTCAGATGAGCATGTTATTAGCAAAAGAGTGGTTTCCATTTTAACAGCACAGTCCCCGGCCCAACCCTCCCCACAAAACAGGCTCTGAAGGCAGCCATTGTCTCTACCAGTAAAACAGGCCCTCAAGTGGAGCTCTAGGCCCAGGAAAAGAAATGAAAGTTCTCATTTGTGGTCCCAGCACTCCTCATTGCTAAGTCCATTCCAGGGTCTGAACTAGAGCTAGGTCCATGACTGGAATGGAAGAGACTAGATGCCCATGCACAGTTTGGCCACTAATGACATCATATTTGTCAAAAAGTGAGGAACTCTTCAAATTTTTTCAGTCATAAGATTTATCTTTGATCTGTAACTCTCACTATAAATAGATTCTAAGTTCCTTAAGCACTTTGGCCTCTTTGATTGTCCCTGTAGCTCTCAGCATGATACATTTAGGGGATGCTAGGTCATGAGGTGATGTCCTTTATTTAGTAAGTAATTATTGGAGTGTTTTGCACAAGGTTAAGTGTGCTAGGTGTGCTTTCCCACTTTCTTGTAATGATTTCAAAAGAACTTTTCTGTTTTGCTTCTGGTCAGGGTGAAGTAACCATGCAGGCTTTTCTAAAAGGCACATCTGTCAGTACTAAACCGTCACTGAAGGATCGAGGAGTAGCTGCCACAGCTGGAAGCAGTGGAGAGAACAAGAAAACCAAACCTGTTCCATGGGTGGAAAAATAGTAAGAATGCTTATATTTTTCTTGACGTAGTTAGTAAATTACTTCTCTAACCATTTTAGTCACTTTGTTGTTGTTGTTGTTGTTGTTACTCAGGAGGGGGATGATTTGCTTTGTTTAGATGTCCTTGAAAAGCACCCAAATATGTAAGTCCTAGAACCTTGCAACTGAAGGTACCTTCAAATGATTAGTTTAATTGTTTTATAGATGAACTAAGGTCTTTCCTATAACTCAGGTCTATGGTTTTAGGGATTGAGATACAGCAAGAGAAAACAGAATTTCTAGAATGTGGCCATAAGCTCTTGGTCAGGAGTTCTACATAAATCCAAATAATCTGTTACCGAGCCTTTCATTACGGATAGGTGGAAATCACTGAGTTTTTGCTTATACATTTTTGGCAAAAACAACACTTGAAGTGGCACTTAAATTTCAATCAGCTAAGTGATATTATGACAAGTAGTTGTAACCCCTGGTGTAGGCTCAATTATTATCAGAAGTTTGCGGATTACTTACAGGTCAAATAAGACCCTCATATGTTTTGTTTGGCACTAACAGTGATTTTTAAAATGGGAAATTTCACATAAAAATCTGGATTTTTAATTAAAAAAATAAAGTATACAAAGGGAAAAAATCTAGCTTTTCAGCTTCTCAAGAGATTAGGCAGAACTAGATGTAGGTTCTCATTTGACAATAGTTGGACCTGAGTACTGCTTCTCATTCTGGAAAGGTCATATGTTCCTCAGTTCACCATAGTTCCTTCTGTTTTCTCTTGCCTTATACTCTGCCTTCTTTTACTCTTGTTTTCTCCCTGGCCCCTGCAGGTATTTGAATATGAAACTCTAGCTTATAACTTATGCTGGTTTCCCTAGAAAACATTATCTGACCTAAAATTCCTACCTGGCATTGACCTGATTAATTAGAAATGTATAAATCAGGGGCGCCTGGGTGGCTCAGTTGGTTGAGCGACTGCCTTTGGCTCAGGTCATGATCCTGGAGTGCCGGGATCGAGTCTCGCATCGGGCTCCCCGCTCAGTGGGGAGTCTGCTGCTCCCTCTGACCCTCTTCCCTCTCGTGCTCTCTATCTCTCATTCTCTCTCTCTCTCTCTCTCTCAAATAAATAAAATCTTTAAAAAAAAATTATAAATCAAAGAAGGGCTAGCTAAGTAAGCACAATGCCTAATCTTAGGGTTAGGAGTATAACTTTGTTCCAGCTTCTCTTAAAATCACCAGTTAATGATGTAAGATGAAAATTATATGTTATTATACTTCATCTTGGTTAAACTTGTTATTTAGTTAGCTCTCAATCAAGTGACTGGTTAGGTGTTTTTTGTGCAGTTAGGTGATGGATGAAATTGGTAATTGGTAATATAGTTAATTGGTCAATTAACTATATTAACCAAAATAGTTGCCTATCCTGAGGTTATTAAATAGTCCTTCATTTTCAGCGTAAGTGCATGATCTTGTCAAAATATATTACTTTCTGGGTAAGTGTTCACTTTAAATTTTTAACCAGTTGACATTTGTGGTGTAATAAGATCTTTTTGCTTAATTTTTGTAAGCAGTATAGATGTAAACTGCATCTATAAAGGGAAAAATGACTTCACTCCTTCAGTATGTATGAGCTTAAAGTAAATACAAGTGGGGTTTCCACCTACTTCTAATTATGAAAGTTTCCCATTTTATTACCAATATATGAGTATTATCATTGATATTTTAGCAAAAGGAACACTTAAGACATTTCTGTGCCTACTATAATATACTAAATAATCTCTTTGGGTTTTTTTCCAGTCGTCCAAAATGTGTGGATGAAGTTGCTTTCCAGGAAGAAGTAGTTGCAGTGCTGAAAAAGTCTTTAGAAGGAGCTGATGTGAGTAGCAGATGATATTTCATGTCATTGGGAGATTTAAGATTTAAATTTTTTTTAAATTAAGATTTAATTGTTTTCATTCTTTTCCTTCCTTTTATAACCTCCTGCCCCCCCTTAAATACTAGCTGTATATTAGTTCAGATATTTATTGAGCATCTCCTATCTTATGGCATTGTTATGTAGTACTTAAGTAGAGACCACTGAACTAGACACACTGGGTCCCTTTTCTTGTGAGCTTTGATTTTGGTGGGGAGACAACAGAGAATAAACGTGGAAGCCAAATAAATAAGAGAATAATAGATAATAATATGCATTATAAAGAAGAGTCAGAGATTCTTTGAAAGTGTAATTGCTCACCTAATGTTAGGATTTGGTTTGAACTACAATACAAAAAATGAGTATTTAATTCTGCTTATAGCATTGTGGCTTCTGCTGTCCATATGTGGGATAAAAAAAATTCTTCAATGACTTGCATTTTAGATGATTCAGAGACAAGATAAGCCCATAGGAAGAAATAGCAGTTTAAAATTGTGTATGATGAAGTGCTTTAAGAGCTTAGTGAAAGAAGGGGAAAAGTTGCAGATGAAAGTGGGGTGTGGTTTTTGCTTTATTCCCCAGGAAGATTTGCTTCCTTCCTTTCAACCTGGCTACTTTTAGAATTAGAGTTTCTTTTGGCTTTTGCTGCCATTATTCACTTCCTGGAATTACACTATAATAGTATATATTTTGAAAGAAGTTATATTTATCAAACTATTTAAAATCTTTTTCTTTGCCAATTTTTGTTTTGATCCAAATACCTTTACCTTTTAATTTTATAATATACAGTTTTAATTGTATAGTAATAATTACACAGATTGCAGGACAAGATATATTTTAATTGGCCGTATTCTCAACCCTTGAGGCAAATGTAGTGGGATTATGACGCAGTTCTTGACTTTATACCATCTATCTTACAAGGCTGAATTAAGAACTTTCTCTTTTAAAACACTTATTTAATATCTTATGTTTCTTTTCAGACTAAGTTTTGTAAAACTTAAAGATGAAGTAATTTTTAAAATTCTACAGAATAAAGAAAAATAATTCATTCTTTCATTTACTCTACTATATGTGCTGCCAAAGCAAGCACTGTCTCATGTACGTTGAAAGATTTTAAAGTAGAATTATAGGTTTTAAAGTAGAATTACAGTAGATGATTTTCAGAAATCAATTTTAAGAAATAATATTCGGCATACAGTTCTTGAGTCTACCATATATATCACTGTTATATAATGTAAGGTTTAATAATCTTACGATGTTTTAAGGAACTTAAGTTATTGTATGTGATAGTTACGTGGATGAATTGTTACAAATATTGAGGTATGCATGAATCAAAATAATAAAGATGAAAAAACCTAGGAATTTTTTAAAATATAATTCACATACCCAAATTGACTAGCCCAAAGCTACCAGAAGGAAGGAAATAATAAAGATTAGAGTGGAAATAAGTGAAATAGAGACTAAGAAGAAACAATGGAAAAGATCAGTGAAACCAAGAGCTGCTTCTTTGAGGGGCGCCCGGGTGGCTCAGTTGGTTAAGCTCAGTTGGTTAAGCATCTGCCTTCAGCTCAGGTCATGATACCTGGGCCCTGGGATCGAGCTTCACATCGGCCTCTGCATCGGGCTCCTGGTTCAGCGAGGAGCTTGCTTCTCCTCCTCCCCACCTCCCCACTCATGCTGTCTCTCGCTCACTCAAATAAATAAAATATTAAAAAAAAAAGAGCTGGTTCTTTGAAAAGATAAACAAAATTGACAGACCTTTAGCCAGACTCCTCAAGAAAAAGAGAGGACTCAAAATCAGAAATGAAGGAAGAGAAATAGCAAATGACACCACAGAAATACAGAGAATTATAAGAGAATATTATGGAAAAGCATATACCAACAAATTGGACAACCTAGAAGAAATGGATAAATATTCCTAGAAACTTACAATCTTTCAAAACTGAATCAGGAAGAAACGGAAAATTTGAATAGACCGATTACTAGTAATGAAATTGAATTGGTAATCAAAAAATTCCCAGCAGACAAAAGCTCAGGGCCAGATGGCTTCACAAGTGAATTCAACTAAACATTTAAAGAAGAGTTAATACCTATTCTTCTCAAGCTATTCCAAAAAATAGAAGAGGAAGGAAAACTTCCAAATTCATTCCATGAGGCCAACATTACCTTGATACCAAAACCAGTCAAAAAGCTTAGGAGGTTCTTTGGTGTTTGTTTTTAAGTAGCACAACTCATAGCTTATATCTTAAGCTGTATGCTACCAATGTAATAGTCTTCAGTTAATATATTTATCTGTACATTGGCTTATTGTACACATGTTGAGTACTATACAAGATGCTGAGAATACAGATATGAATAAATAAGGTTCTTGACTTTAAGCTTACCATCTAGTGAGGTAGACATATTTTACAATTAAACCAAAACACTAAATAAAGAACAATAATTGTAAACTATTGTATATAAATAATTGCAAGTTGAATTAAGGGCAACAAAGACTTGATGAGAGAGTAACAGAGGAGTTCCACTTTAGATTGGGTGGTCAGGGAAGGCTTCTGACTTGTAATGTAGTAGAAGTTGGCAAAGCAGGAAAAAAGCAGTCAGACCCTAGCTGGGGGATGGGATAGGCCATAAGTGCTTAGTTGTTGGAATTCATTGTAAATTGGAGCCTGGAAAGGTGAGCAGATCATGGACGTTCATAAATATAGGTTGGTTTTTGTTTGTCTGGTTTTGTTTTTCTAGGTGGAGTATGAAGCCAGTGAACAGTTTTAAGTAGCAAGCAGAGGGGCATCTGATTTGGGTGAAGAATGGATGGGAAGGTGGAGGGTTAGGCAAGAATGGAAGCAAATAAACTGCTGTCTAGTTTCCCATGTGCAGTGATTTCTGTACGTGAAAGGACATACTGAAGAGTGCAGTTTTATGACAGAGCTCATTAGAATTTAGTACATTCATCAGTCTGTACCACAGATTAGTTGCCTGCTTGATAGGAGCCAAGCCGGTGAGATTTAAGGTATAAAAGAAGATAATTAGTGATTTAGTCTTACCCTTTCTTCCTCTAATTAATTCTCCCTGGTATATGTGGGCATCCCTACAGGGTATATAATCATGGAGTAGAGTACTGTCAGGCACTTAGTAAACTTTTTTTCCCCACCCCTACTCTTGGAACATCAGCTCATCCAGAGCCCTGATAAGTCTTTTTCATTCCTTTTTCCTTTGTATTAGCCAAATTGAAGGTCTCCTTTGGTCTGTTTCCCCCTTGAAGCAATGGACATCTTTATAAAATATAAAATCTTTCTTATATAAAATCTGCCCAATCCTGAGCAGAGGGGTGGAATAGGGAACTGACAGAAGCCTGAGATTCCCTTCAGAAAAAAGAGGTTTCGAGGCGCCTGGCTGGCTTAATCGGTGGAGCTTTGCACTCCTGATCTCAGGGTTATGAGTTCAAGTCCCACGTTGGATATAGAGATTACTTAAAAATAAAATCTTTTTAAAAAAGAAAGAAAGGTATCTAATTCCTGCTCTGAAAACTCACATGGGTATATTGGGTATAAAACAGTAATAAATATTGATTCAGCTTAACATATTAGACATTTTGGGGGAAAGTATAGTATTATGTGAAAAAGCAGGATTCACAACTACTAATAGTGTGATACTGGTTATATTAAGAAATATTTGTATTCAGATATGTGCCTTATTAGGGAAGTTGTTGCACTGTTCCATAGACATTTTTAGTTATCATTTTCATCTATTTGTACCAGAATACAATTTTTAAAAAATAAAATTTAACTTCTACAGCTCCCTAATCTCTTGTTTTATGGGCCACCTGGAACTGGAAAAACATCCACCATTTTGGCAGCAGCTAGGGAGCTTTTTGGGTAAGTTGAAATCTCTCTTTTTTTAAAGACTTGACACCAGAAATCTCTGCTTTTCTTTAACTAAAAATTTGTATTTGGTTTCTTTGTAAGGTTATTATTTCTGTATTTTTTATTAATTCAGTGGGCCCGTTTCCAGTTCCTCCCCTCCAGTAAATAAGCTTGCCTGCATCTTTTGTAATCTTCATTCTGAACCTTATTCAAATGTTTGATGTACTACAACATAGGAAGCCTCATGATTTTTGTCGTCACTAACTTTTTCATTTTGATTTTGGAGCCCAAAGGACCCATCCTATCTTTATTCATGCCAATACTTTCATCACTATCTTAACGGTGGTTGTGTTCACACATCTGTGTCTCGTGCTAATGACCTCACACCACTCCTTCTAGAGTTCTTTCTTGCTCTGGCCTTTCCAGGCCCTGCCTCTGGAGTGGCTAGGCCAGCTCCTTGACCTGAAGTATCTTGAGTGTGAGCAGAATATGTAGTAGTTGATGCAGAATTCCAGGTATACCAGAAGACCTCTGTTAGCCACTTTCTTAGGTTCTTCTTCCAGGATTGACTGTCTTGGCTTACCAACCATTGTAGATGAGCTTTTTACCTAGAGTTAAAAGATATATATCGGCCCAGGTATGATATCCCTAAAACATGCACCAATAGCAAAGTCTGTCTTAATCACTTCTCAGCCTTTTGGCTAAGATCTAGTGTACCAAAGGCTATCTTGAATTTATCCAGAACTTTTATATCAGGCATATGGTCAAAGGATACATCTGAAATCCTACATGTGAAAATAATCAGATGCCTCTGAAACCACCAAATATGTACAGATAATTAGTTATGTTGAAATGTGAAGAAAAAAGGGGAAGGTGCTGTGAACCTAATATTTTATTTGACAGCAATTTTTGTTTCTCAAGGAAATTATAAAAGGGCTTTTTTGATTATTCCACAACTTAGATCCAACCTGATGAACCAGCCTTAGCAATGTAGTCATAATGAAACCCAAGTAGTTTATTAATACTTTTTGAGAGTAGGTCAGTCCAGATTATATAATTTTAAAATATCCTGTTAAAAATAATGTTTGTCCTTTAGAACTAACTTTAATTATGAATTCCACATTTCATAGTATATGTAGTTTTAAAATGGAAAATATATGCACAGAACTTTATGAATGTGCCCATAGAAAAATGCTTAGGTTATCATGCTGTTTAGGAAAACTAAAGACAAAACTAAGTCCCAATTCTTGTTTTTTTAATTAAAAAATAAATACATGTATAATAAAGTAGAGGAAAGTTTTCAAAAACAAAGACTTGGCAGGGTGTGCCAGTTATTTTAATTTTCTTTTGATTTCTCAGACGACCCTATGGTGAGCTATTTTTAATAATTTTTTTTTAAACTCAAAAAACCTGTTCATATTTTAATCCAGTAATAGTCCTTATAGCGAGCTACCCTATGGAAATAATTGAAAATATGCTCTGTTGGAGCATTATTTAAAATTGTACCATATTTGGGCGCCTGGGTGGCTCAGTTGGTTGGGCGACTGCCTTCGGCTCAGGTCATGATCCTGGAGTCCCGGGATCGAGTCCCACATCGGGCTTCCTGCTCGGCGGGGGGCCTGCTTCTCCCTCTGGCCCTCCCCGCTCTCATGTACTCTCTCTCTCTCTCTCATTCTCACTCTCTCAAAATAAATAAATAAATCTTTAAAAAAAAAAATTGTACCATATTTAAAACTAAATATCTAACAATAGAAGAATAAGTAAATGATGGTACAATCATAGGATAGAATGTCATATAGTTATTAAAATGGTATTTACAGTGGTTCTGATGACATGGCAAGATGTTTATGATATAATCTTAAGTGGAAAATTGATTTAAAATTTTATGATGTGATACCATCTACCTGTTTTTTAAACTGCATGTCTCTACAAAATAAATACAAAAGTGATTGCATGCCTTCTATCTAGTACTTACTAGGTGGATTTTAAACTACTACAGAATGTACAATTGTTAAAATGTGGCTTAAACCTCAGTTACTTATATGCTCTGTTATTTTTCATATTTGTTTCATTTTGACATAGGCCTGAACTTTTTCGATTAAGAGTTCTTGAGTTAAATGCATCCGATGAACGTGGAATACAAGTAGTTAGAGAAAAAGTGAAGAATTTTGCTCAATTAACTGTGTCAGGAAGTCGTTCAGAGTAAGTAAAGCTCACTTTTCCTTCTTTATACCATGTCATTGCATTTGTTTAAAATACGTTTCTGCCAAGTGTCCAACTCCTTTTTCATGTTAGATCGTATATTTTTTTTTATTTTATTTTTTTACGTAATCTCTACAGGCAACATGGGGCTCAAACTTACAACCCCAAGATTAAGAGCTGCTTGTTCTACTGACTGAGCCAGCCAGATGTCCTTTTATCTAAATTATTTAAACCCAGAAATGACCTTTCCATTAGCTGTCAAGGGTTTTGAACTTATGTTTTGTCTAAGGAGTATTTATTAATCAAATTTGGTAGTTTGGTGGTACACTGCTAGTAAAAAAATCCTGATTTTTGTTATTGTGTTATAAAAAAAAGTTCTGTCAGGTATCTTAAGCTTCAGTGTATATTTCCTAATTAGGGTGACCATATAAGTTATTGTCCAAACTGAGACACTTTTAGAGTAAAAGAAGAAGTATTATTAATAATTTAAATAGGACTGCTCTGAGTTAAACAAGGATGTTTAGTCAGCTACTTATAGTCTTATGTGGCACAGTTCTAAGATTAAATTTTTTGGAACCTGGTATATATTTAAATTCATATCAGAGCACACTTAAGAATTTGTAGAAAGTGAATGACTGATTTTTGATATCTACCTTGGATTGACAATGCATATAAATCCTATATTTGATAAGGGACTTGGATCAAGAATATATAAAGAACTCATACATTTTAGTAATCAAGAGAAAACCCAATTTAAAAGGCGAGCTGATACACCTTACACCAAAGAAGATACAGTAGTCCCCCTTTAACTGTGGTTTCAGTCAGTTTCCATGGTTTCACTTGCCTACACTCAGCTGAAGCCCAGAGCAAATGATTCACCTTCTGACATAATCATCAGAAGGTCATTAGTAAGTAACCTAACATACATCACAGTGCCTATGTCATACTTCACTTTGTCTCATCACATAGGCATTTTACCATCTCACATCACAAGAAGGGGGAGTACAGTCCAATAAGATATTCTGAGAGAGACCACAGTTGCATAACTTCTGTTACACTATATTGTTAAAATTGTTTTCTTTCATTGTTATATTGTAATGATGTTATTGTTGTTAATCTCTTACTGTGCCTGATTTATAAATTGAACTTTTTCATAGGTATGTGTGTATAGGAAAAACACAGCATATATATATTTATATACTGTTTGATACTATCCAGGGCTTCAGGCATCTGCTGGGGTCTTAGAACACATTCCCTGTGGATAAGGGGGGACTACTATACAAAAGGCCCTAAAGACATGAAAACATGCTCATCAACATCATTAGCCATAGGGAAATGCAAATCAAAACCATGATAAGATACCACTTTTTGCATACTAGGATAGCTCTTAGCAAAAAGACAACATATTGGCAAGAATGTGGAGAAATTGGAATCCTTATACTTCACTGGTTGGAATGTAAAATGGTTACAGACATTTTGAAAATAGTTTGGCAGGTCCTCTAAAAATTAAACATAGAGTTACCAGATAACCCACCAATTCCAGTCCTAGGTGTATACCCATAAGAAACGAAAAAATAGGTCTATGCAAAACATGTTAAAAAATGTTCGTTAGCAGTATTAGTCATAGTAGTCAAAACGTGGGAACAACCCAACTATCCATCAACCTATGAATGAACGAATAAAATGTGGTATATCCCTTTGCCATATTATTTAGCGATGAAAAGGAAAGAAGTAATGACATACTACAACATGGATGAACCTTGAAAGCATGCTAAGTGAAAGAAACCAATCACAAAAGACAATGTATTAATCCATTTATATGAAATGTGCAGAATAGATCTGTAGAGACAAAGTAGAGATCCAAGATTGCCTACAGCTGGGAGAACTGGAAGGCGTGATGGGCATGGGGTTTCTTTTTGGGATGATGAGAGTTTTCTAAAATTAGATTTTGGTGACAATATATGAATTATAACTCCCTGTTTCTCTGAATCAGTGGGAAGCCATGTCCTCCTTTTAAGATTGTGATTCTGGATGAGGCAGATTCTATGACCTCAGCTGCTCAGGCAGCTTTACGACGTACCATGGAGAAGGAGTCTAAAACCACGCGATTCTGTCTCATCTGTAACTATGTCAGTCGGTATGTATATTGTCCTGAAGATAGATGGTAGGCAGCCTTGTTTTGATAACTCCAGTTAGGGAGAGAAAAAAATGTAAATGTTTCAAGGCTACAATAATTTCTCCTCCATCAAGTCTTGATTTGTTCTTGATAAAAATGAGTTCTTTGGGGGAAAATGTTTAGATACTGACTTTTTTTTTCTCCCCCGATATTTTACAGAATAATTGAACCTCTGACGTCTAGATGTTCTAAATTCCGATTCAAACCACTGTCAGATAAAATTCAACAGCAGCGATTACTAGACATTGCTGATAAAGAACATGTGAGAATTAGCAATGAGGTAATTACTAATTATTACAAATACTATTACGAATTCCTTTGACAAATTCCTAAGAGGTCCCAAAAGCATCAAATGTGGTGCTTTAATTTCTGATGCCTTCAGGCAAAGTTAAGCTAAAAGAGCAACACTTGGAATGTCTAGATTCAGCCTTCTTGTTACTATTATGTTTATTACCAATATTTCAGAGAGCCAGAACTGGGGCAGATTTCAAACACATAGTGCAAATTCGCCGATAACAAATCCTGCATAATAAGATTTTAGTGTCCTAATATTTCACTTGAGGAGTGAATTTTGTGATGAAATTTTGGTGAAAGAGGATATGTAGGCCTTATCATTTTAACAGAATTTAACCGTACTTGAATCATCTTTATGTATTCAAGAAAATAGGATTAGAGATACGGAACATTTCTTTGTCTCTGCAGATTTCTTTCAAAGACAAGAGATCTCTAGCCTTCCACTGGACTGATGCTATCTCCATGAATTTTGTCATTACAGGACTGATAACATTCCCTTAAAACCAAAAACGTTCTTCTCCAACTAACTCTAGGCTAAAACAGCATTTTTTCACTTTTCTTTATTAAAGTCAAAGTCTTAATTGGCCATCACAGGTTAAAAAATTTTTTTTCTCTTTTCAGGGAATAGCTTATCTTGTTAAAGTGTCAGAAGGAGATTTAAGAAAAGCCATTACATTTCTTCAAAGTGCTACCCGATTAACAGGTGGAAAGGAGATCACAGAGAAGGTGATCACAGACATTGCTGGGGTAAGAACATGAGATAATTTTAAAAGTTTTGGTTGGGCTTGGGGCTCATAGAAAATTTTCATCTAACAAATGTATTCAGAATGTTTATTATGTGCTGGTTTAATCCATTTAGGCAGCTTTAACAAAATACTGTAAGCTGAGTGGCTTATAAACAAATTTCACAGTTCAGGAGGCTGGGCAGTCCAAGATCAAGATACCTGTATTGAGTACCTGGTGAGGACCAACTTCTTAGTACATAGACTCCTCAGGGTTCATGGACTCAGCTGTATCCTTTCTGGCAGAAAGAGCTTTTATAAGGGTACTAATCCCTTTCATGGGGATTCTGCTCTCATACCTAATCAACTTCCCAAAGTTCTCACCTTAATTTCACAGTAGGGATTTTTAACATGAAACCTGAGGAACACATTTAGTCTATAGCATGTGCTACGTAACTATGCTAGAAACTGTTATATGGAAATAACCTGGAAGCATCACAACACTTCAGTGATATGGCAGTTAAGAGAGATTTAACAGATATCCCTGTTCTTACAAATCTGACAAAGGGTCATATATAAAGGGCAATATCCCACTTGGAGAAATCATTTGTCAGGGTTCATCTCTACTAGTATGTTAAGTACTACTTTTAAGACTTCGCTCCTAAGATATTTTTCATACCGTTATGAAATTGGTAGCATTAGTCCCCTTTAATTTTCTGGGTATTATAAGCTTTGTAAAAGTAATCTCACTAGTGACATCTTTACTAGGAAAGGGGGCATCTCCCTTTAAATTCCCTTTTTAAACTAGTTGATAATGTTAGCCACTGATGAAGTTAGAACCACTTGGGTCCGAGCCATTGGGGAGAATTTTTAGCTGCTTACCCACTGACCAGTTCAGTTGTTCTTGTCCCATCGTGGCCCAAGCCTGAAACTGTCAGAAGCAAAGAAAAATCTGTATACTTCAGGGGCATTAAAAATTTTTTTAAAAGCAAAATGCATCACTATTACCTAATCAGGGTTAGGTTATGGTTACCTGAAAAAGCTTATTTCAGTAGCTTTCTGGAGCTCCATGATAGGAGCATGAGGCTCTTCCCAAGTTCTCTTTGCCTTCTCTCAAACTTTAGGTAATGCCAGCTGAGACTATTGATGGAATATTTGCTGCGTGTCAGAGTGGCTCTTTTGATAAACTAGAAGCTGTGGTAAAAGTAAGTCACTTTACAGGTAACTTTGGGGAAGGAAAAAATAATGGTCCTACCAAATTCAACTGTTTCTGTTGCAGGACTTAATTGATGAGGGCCATGCAGCAACTCAGCTTGTTAATCAATTTCATGATGTGGTTGTAGAAAATGATAACCTTTCTGATAAACAGAAATCCATTATCACAGAAAAACTTGCTGTAAGTAGGCCCTTCACGTTTCAGCAAAATGTGTCAAATACAACTCAATGGCAAATTTTCCTAACTTTTAGTTTTTTTATAGGAAGTAGATAAATGCTTAGCAGATGGTGCTGATGAACATCTACAACTCATCAGCCTCTGTGCGACGGTGATGCAGCAGTTAACTCAGAATTGCTGAAAGGATCATTTTTGTAAGATACAATTTTGTAAGCTACAAGTTTAAGTATGATCTGATAAAAATAAAATGACCAAAGCACCTTTAAAGTGAATATACAATTTATTTAACATTCAAACTTCATTAAGACATGTGCAATATGGCAATTTTACTGGGATTTAACCCTACCTAGGATATGATTGCTTGCTGGGGCTTAGCAACAGGGTCCAGTTCACACTTAGCACTAATTAAATACTTTATTGAATAAATACAATACCAAACAAAATGCATTCAAATGCTTTCTAAAAAAAAAAAAATCAATTTTAAAGGCCTTTCTATTCAGGCTAATGACAAACACAATAAAGGCAGATATGCTAGTTTAACATAATTGGCTGATTTTATACAGCACTTATATCTTTTAGTCCACAAGTATATTATTAAATGATAGAGAACATCTAATACAACCATTTCTACAGAACTAGGAAATAAATTTCTAAGAAAGAAAGATTTTACAGACCCCATCTTTTATACCCAACCCCAACAGTCTAACTCTAAAGAGGATAAAGCCAATGCCTTTCCTCACAAGAGCTCACGACTAAAGTCGCTTTGCTATCAAAATCTGTATTTCTGATCCGTTATGAGCATTGAGACAAGATTCAAATATTCCCAAAGAAAGAAGCACAATGCACGTTGTGATCGCCTATTCAGCAACAGCGAGCACTGCATTCAAAACTATCTCATCCCAGGAATTAAATAAGGTCAGCCACATTCATTGGCATTTCCTCCACTGTAGTATTGTAGAAAGTCTCAATGTCACGAAGAATCCTCTTGTCTTCTTCAGTAACAAAGTTTATAGCCACACCTTTCCTCCCAAATCGACCCCCTCTGCCAATTCTGTGTAAGAAAAAGAAATCAGAGCAATTAGAATGTTACTTCTCGAGTATGAATGAACTACTGAACATGATGATCCACTTGTTAACCATCAGCTGCTGTTTACTTAATAGGGTTATAGTTCGTGCTTCTAATTGGAGCGCACTAGCTGCTAATCAATATCTAGAGAAAAAAATCTTCCTTTGCAGTTAGTGCCAAAAGGATTCAAGGCTTGTCTGGCTGCAAAATGAGATTTTATCAGGTGTCTTGAGCATTACTTTTAAAGCAGATGACAGTATTGTGTTTGGGGTAATGAAATTAAAGCCCATACCAAAGTGGGCCAGCCAAGAGCAGATGTCAGCCTGGGACAGATGTAAACACCAGGGATAAAACAAAAAGAACAGTTATGTAAATCCATTTCGACGCACCTCTGGAACTGTAAACTGTAAATACAAATGCTGCAAGGTTAACTATTGTCTAAAACTCACAACTTTTTCCAGTGGGAAAACAAGTATTTGGTATGGTGACCCAAACTTATCACTGCTTTTTTTGCTCAGTTTCACACGTTGTAACTCAAAATTAACTCAAACGTGTTTACCTCCAGAACAGCTTTCTACCTTCCTGATAGAAACCAGACAACACAAACCGCCTAAGAGACTAACGTACAAAAAATGCCTTGGCTGGAACAACTTAAAAATATCAAATAATCATGACAAAAGAAAAACAAATATAAATACCGACTCGCTCTTTATTCAAACAGTGTGCGGTTTCGCTTATGATTCCACGTCCTAAATTACGTCAACGCCGTTTCTGAGCGCCATCTCGTCATCAACTGCTGCTATCGACTCCTGTATTTTTTAAAAAGTCTTTTTTTACATCATATAACAAAGTACAGTTCAATTTACTTAGGGATAAAGCCACTATAACTAAACCAGGGTCTGCTCAAATTGCTACCAGACAACACCAAGAAAATCCCAACTACAGAGGAATCACCAAGAAAGCAAGCACATGGACACAAGAACTTCACTAAAAACTCACAAGTAAGCTAAGACCAACAGATCTAAACCACCTCATCTGTATGTAGTAAGTCCACAATTTGGGCAACATTTACAACTGTTTTCCCACTGTAGTTGACCAATCTTCCCAAGTACAATTTTAGTTACATCTTACCAAGTTACTAAGTCTTTCTGCTTTCCTGATACGAAGTTACCTTTCAAACAAATCAATCCGTAGAAAAGCCACACATGAATTCATTTTGCCAATACAGTAACAGCCAAAATGCCACCTACTCACCTGTGAATATAGTTTTCACGATTGGTAGGTAGATCATAGTTTATAACCAATGACACTTGTTGCACATCAATCCCACGAGCCTGAAACACAATGGTACAGTGTTCAAATTCTAATTTAAAGAGCTAGACACCTATGTAATGTAGGCCACAAAATAGTAGTGAACTATGGTAAGTGGTATAGCCCACTGTGGAGTGTGGTCTTTTCTTTACTCTCCCAAAGAGCCCAAACTGGTAAAGGTTATCAAAAAACCTTCCCCCCAAAACAAACTTTTGGTAGATTAAAAAGAACAGTGAGAGACTTACCAACAAGTCAGTAGTGATCAAAACACGGCTTGACCCTGATCGGAATTCCCTCATGATAACATCTCTTTCCTTCTGGTCCATGTCACCATGCTGCAAATTAACAAACCTTAATTCAAGAATCACCAGTCAAATCAACTATTTAATTTTACTGACATGTATGAGACCAAGCGTCCCTGGCTGCTACAGGGGTATAGCAGACAGGTATAATTAAGAAACAACTTTATTCTGAGCAGGGGGAACGACAACACAGCACTTAACAGCTATATTGTAGTCTAAATCCTGCTTTAATGAAAATACACTTATCGCTACTAGAACACCTCTTACCAGAGCAGAAACTGTGAAGTCCCTGGCATGCATTTTCTCAGTGAGCCAGTCCACCTTGCGCCTTGTATTGAGAAAAATAACAGCCTGAGTAATCGTCAGTGTCTCGTACAAGTCACAAAGTGTATCCAACTTCCATTCCTACAATTTTTCAAAGTTAACAGTTATTAAAATCTAGTTTCCAATTCAGGTTCGTTAGAAATTCATTCTGTTAGGCCTATCCAAGACATATTGCACCAAATCTTAAGACAAAGGACACTGGACATTAAGAAAGAGGTCCACCCCAGTCTTTACAATCTAGTGCAGTTACTTTTCTTCTTGTGTGTACTCTGCTAGCATTATTACAAAAACTAAGGCAATCCCAGTTTCTGCAATTTTAGCACAGTGCTTATACAAGAAGGCTAAAAAATGAACTACACCTTAATGTTAAGTAATTAAATTACCTCTCTTTCAACATTAATATAAAACTGTTTGATTCCTTCAAGAGTCAATTCTTCCTTTTTCACCAGAATTCGAATTGGATCTCTCATGAATTTTTTGGTCACTTCCAACACATCAGTTGGCATTGTGGCAGAAAGCAACACAACCTTAAAAAGACAACGATTATATGGTCACACAAATAGCACAACTTTCACAATACTCAAACTGAGACCTAGGGTCTTTGCCTCACTATAATTGCTTTAAGCAGGGGGAAGGACAAATCCATCAGTACACCTGCATTAAACCTATGCCCCAACCTACTATAGGACAGGGAGTAAAATTAAACTCACCTGAATACTCGTATTTAATTTTTGGAAAATCTCATAGATTTGATCCTTAAACCCTCGGCTCAACATTTCATCTGCTTCATCCAAAACAAACATTTTGATCCATTTTGGAGCTGACAAAGAAAGTCGTACACACTATCAGCTCTAGATGCGCAGGGATACTATTTTAAGTAACAAATTATACTCTCATTGGACAGCAATACTTACAAAGGTATCTTCTGTTTAACATATCAAATACTCTCCCTGGTGTACCAACAACAATGTGTGGTGCTTCAGCCTGCAGTTTTTGCATTTCATTCCGAACATTGGTTCCACCAATGCAGGCATGACAAGTTGCTCCCATATAGTCTCCAAGTGCCAGAATTACCTTTTGGATCTAAAAGCCAAAACCTTAATTATTATCCAGTAGAATTATAGGCTCTGTGCCTAAACTTCCAAAGCATATGGCAAATATCTGGTCTGCAAATAGCTTCTATGCATGCACAATACTTAACTATTTCCAAGCTTAAAATGCAGACTGATCTAACTGCTTCATGATAAAATGCCTTTAACATGTCTTCCTTGTGCCTTGTCAAACTTGGGATCCTGTTGCCCCAGATACCAGCTAGGTTAATTAAATGATTTTAGTTAAATCATTTCCTACATTGCTTTTCATTGTGTAGGAAGGTGTAAATAGTGGAACTCTGCAATTATATCTAGGACAACTTGTTGATACTTTAGTTTTTCCCAAAGTACTGAACCTTATGTCCTCTTGACCTTAATAAAACCTAGTTTTATTAGCAAGGTTTTACTTCAAAGCCAATATAGCAGTGAGCTTTGAAAACATAGCATGCAACAGATGCATCACAAACTACTGAGACAGTCAAATGATAACATGTCACTGCAGTTTTCATGTTGCACAACTGCATTCAAACTTAAAAATGGGACAGATCTAGTCCACCCTGAAAAGCTTTGGTTTCTCAAATCTGTTAGACAACCCTGCAAACCGTACCTGCACACCCAATTCCTATTTTTAACTTTCAACAAAAACTCCCTGCATGCATGGACAATTAAAAAGGAAGGCTCTTACTGATAGGACCAATTTATACTAAGTTTTAAATTCTTCACAGTTGTGAAACCTGAAACCTATGCAACACGCAAGCAGTTTTTTTGAACTACACTATCAATACCTGTTGAGCCAGTTCTCTGGTGGGGGCCAATACTAGTGCTTGGGTCTCCTTGAACTCAATCTCCAACTGTTGCAGGATGGAAATAGCAAATGTGGCTGTCTTGCCAGTACCTGACTGAGCTTGAGCAATCACATCATACCCTAAAAAAAGTAGGATACATATTTACCGATCCCACATCAAACCGCCACTTCTAGTTCACACCATGTATTCCGTTTGGAACATTAATTATGCCCAAATAATCAAGTGATCAGCAATGAGTATTCTCTTCATTTCAGGTCAGTCCCGAAAGATGATTGCCATCATTTCACTTTAAGGAATACAAACAGGTGCTAGTCCCCCAGAAGTTATTTTCCCTTTTATGGTCCAGGTCTTTCTGGAACACTTAATCCATTTTTAAGAAGTACTAACTAGTTCTTTTACCTTTAATACAAGGAATAATAGCTCTCTGTTGAATAGCTGAAGGCTTCTCAAAACCATAAGCATAGATGCCCCGAAGAAGAGACTCCTTTAAATTCATATCGTCAAAGTTATCAACAA